GTGGGGTTTTGGCAGAAGTGCCCCAGGACCTCTCAGACCTCAGGAAGACTTGTGACTGTAGGCTGCTGGGTCTGGCTCTGCTGGTCCAACTGGCCCAACCACTTCTCTTGGGCCCTACCGGCTGCCTCTGCACAGAGCCCTGCCAGGAGATGCCAAGTGAAGTCTGCAGGGGCCTCAGCTCCACTTCCCAGTCTCAAGGCAAGGACAGAGAAGTCCTGAATCTCTGGCTGCTCTGTTCAGTCTGGAAGAGTAGGTGGCAGGCAGCGTCACTTCCTTCTGAAAAGGGATGTGGGTAGGCTGCAGAGATCTGTGCAATCCTACTTTCTTCTGTAAATACGACTGTTTCATTTTCTTTAAAAGACACATCCCTTTTTCCATCAGAACAGCCAACAGGTCTTTTTTTTTTTTTTTAAGGTTTCTGTGGCTTTCCATGCTTATCTGTCATGTCCAGCTTCGGGTCCTCAACAGCAAGGCAGTACTAGGGCAGGTGTCAGTGACTTGGCAGCCTCCAGGTGGCTATATGACCCAGGCATAGAGCTGGGTCTTTTATAGTCTGGCCAGAATCACGTGGAGGGCTGGCACCTTGCCCTTCTTGCTGGGAAATGCTCCCTTAGGGCAGGGAGGGGCAAGGTTGCAGACCTGTCCATACCAGTGCACAGTACCAATGTAGTAAGGGGACTATGTCTGCAAGGGTGGTGGCGGTGGTGTGCAGGAGAGGTTGAGGGAGGAAGGGTGAAGGGTTAGGGTGCAGTGTGGCTTGAGTCTCTGGAGGGACTGTCTACAGCTCTTGACCCCTCCAAGGACCTTCTTTCATCCCAGGGCTACCCCTGTCCTCGGTTTCCTATAGGCCTGGAAATGTTCAATGAGCCATCATCTGCAGAGGAACTGAGCTAACCACACAAGAACAAGCGAGGGGGTTAAGCCTTCCCTGCCTCATCCTCCGTGCCTTTACTCTCTGTGGGAAGGCACACTAGTGTAAGCCCCAGCAGAGGCAAGCTGAGTTGGTTCTGGAAAATCAGTGCAGGAGATCAGGATGTTCCTTGTAGTCTCTAGCTGTCCCTGATGACCAGCTCCAGTTCCACTGTCCATCCTTACCACTTCCAGGACCCTGTGAGGAATTGGGACAGAGGAGCCTGCTCAGGAGACAGCCTGGTCAGAACTGTGTTAGGGTCAGTGCCAGGCTGTCCCCACGACATGAAAGCACTGTGCTCTGCCCTCCCCAAGCTCTTTCCCCATCCCTTCCCAGGAATTCCTCAGATTTCACTAAACAAATTTATGGGAGAGGATTAAGAATTAGCCTAGCTTTGCTGACTCTGTTTTGACAGACTGAGCTTGCTCCTCTCATCTCAGGAGCTCCATCTCAACCACCAGATGTCATTATTAACATCTGTAAAATCACAGGTCCAGGACTGAGTGAAACACTTCCCTGACGTATGGCACCACCCATAAGACCTTCCTAGCCTGACTTTGCTTATTCTTGACTTGGTGCCACAGGCCGAAACCTCTGTGACAGCCTTGGTGACCTGAGGCAGAGGCATATCCCAAGCATCCTTCCCACCTCACTACCCCCCCCCCAATAAAAACCCCTGCCTGGCTCTGCTATCCTCAGATATATCATTTCTGCTGCCTGTGTTTTCTGTCCCAGAAACATGAATTCACTCTCTCTTGAGCAGGCCATTGCCCTGGGTGTGGTGGAGATGGCTGCCTGGCAGCCAAAGCTTCAGGGCTAGAATAGTGAGTGACACAGGCTGAAACAGAGCAGAGGTACTGAATTAGGACAAGAACTAACTGCTGAATGAGATGAAATGGGAGACCCTGTCTCGTCTTCAGCTGGTGGGCCTCAGGGACAATGGGATGTCTTCTCAGGTTGCTTCTTTGGATCCTAGACTTCTCCTTCATTGGCTTTGGGACCCTATTTTGCTCCTGGTTTTGGACAGTGATATGGTGGCACGGATTTTTATCATTTCCTCTGGAGAGGATAACCCTCCAGAGACCACAGAGCAACAGTCCTGGGTGGTTGCTGCTCAGTGCCACCCACACCTGGCCCCTTGGCTTCTCCTTAACCTGGAGGAAGTGGGTTGTAGGGGGAAAGAAGGGAGGAAAGTACCACTTCTGAGGGCTGCTTTGAGCCAACCCTTGCTGGAGGATTTATACCCATGTCATGAGGGACAATCCAGGACCCTTTCAGGGCCGAGAGTAATGATGCCCAGTTGTCCTCGGACTATCCAGGTATCTGATTTTGTGAGGTACCATTATAATGGGATGAGGATAAAATATGGGTTATATATTTTATTCTGGGAGAAGTCACTTACACAAGAAACCAGTGCCCCACAAGTTCCTGCTCCAAGGAACCACACCTAGGCTGCTCTCCATGACCCAACCAGAACCAAGAGAAAGCAAGCTTGTCCTAGACCCCAGACCAAATAACACACACTCACCTATGCACCTGTGACCATGCCCAAACGGATGTGGTTAGTGCCACAGGTGCTGCTGGGTGGATCTCTCACAACACGAGAACCTGTGACTTAGCACAGTGACCATTCCTATAACCCTGAACATACACACAGAGACAAGTCCTTCGCAGATACCCACCCCCGCTGAGACTACTCTCCTCCCCACCCCCACCTCCGTGCACCCTCTTTCATAGGTGAGAACTTAGGTTGGGAGAGGAGAGGTGTGGTCATGATGATAAAGTCAGGGTCATAGAGTCAGCAAGTGATACAGCCAAAGTTTCCTTCGAGGCCTGAGTAGGCCCTATTAGGCTGGTTAGGGACAGCTCATCTGGACCCTGCCCAGGACTACCAGGGTTGTACCCAGCTCCACAATGTAGTGATCCTAGCTAAGCTGGGTCTGAAGTCCCCGACTTCCACACAAGCCTGTCTTCTAAGGCACTTGGGCCAGTCTGGACAGAAACCCACCAGCATCTCTCTTCTGCCCTTGTCAGAACATTACCAGATCCGTCTTAACTGCTCTTCATCTCATCATATCACAGTTCCCCTTGCTAGTCACCAAAGTTGCCATTAATAGTGGTCCTCCCTTCTTGGGTGCTTGAAGATCATACACAAGGTTCACATCTGGCACTAGGACAGAGCCCAACACCAATCACCATTACTCTTCATCTTCTTTTTCCAAGCAGAAAGCAGTAGATGGGAAGAAAGGTTTGGTGGTTGGGCTTAGAGCTTCCAAGTGGTTGGCTCTCCCACTGTAGTCCCTGGAACAGGGTAGGTCCTTTGTGATGTTGAGGGGAGAGGCTGGGTTGGCTGCTGTAGATCTGGAGGAGGAGCCAGATAGTGTGAAAGCCGATTCCAGGTGGGCAAAGGTCACCTGAAGCTTACCTTGCACACCCTTTCCTTTAGCCCAACCCTCAGGCAAGCTAAATAGGACCCCTCAACTCAAGGAAAGAACATGGATAATCAATGGGCATCAAGGAGGAGTAGCCTGTGAGGAGACACAGCATATTCAGAATCATAATGTGAGGAAAAATGTGGCTATCTTTCCAGAAGAATTCCAATTTGGCCAGAGTCAGCTTTGTGGAAAGAATCCACTGTCATGGGATGGTGACAGTTATCAGGGCTGGGGACTTAAATACTAATTTTCAAACTTGGCCCTCCTTTCTTCCAAGGTAGAGGAACCAGGAACCTTCCTATCTACAGCAGGAAAAGTCATTGTGGTTTTTTTATCCTTAGCCCAATTCCCTACATGCCCAATATACATTTAAAACACTGTTTGGAGATCTACATCTCTGTCAGGTTCCCCTATCCCTGGAAGTCTCAGGCCTCCAAGCACAGGGGTGGGGGGGTGGGGGGTCTACTCCTACTCCTCTTGAGCCTATTCCTTCTTGGTTGTCTGGGATCTCAGGATCCTAGAATGCTCTTTTAGCCTCCTGGGAAGGGTTCTCTCTCTCTGTGTCTTAAATCTTCTTTTGTTTTGTTTTGTTTTTTATTGAGCTATACATTTTCCCCACTACCCTTCCCTCCTCCCCTCTCCCCTTCCACTGTACCCCACCCCCACGTTCCCAATTTACTCAGGAGATCTTGTCATCCTTTATTTTGTTTTTTGAGACAGCATGGGGGGGGGTGTCTTACATGCCTTCACTTGCTATGTTGCCATGGCTGAACTTGAACTCGCTTCCTGCCTTCCTCTCCTGAGTACTGGAGCGTCATTCTGAACCTCCATATGTGGCTTTCTCTGTGGTGGGGATCAAACACAGGGCTTTCTGCAAGTTAGACAAACACCCTATCATCTGAGTTACAGGCCCAACCCGGGAAGCCATTTCTTTGGCTAAGTATAATGTAACATCTTAGTGCTCTGGGCTTTGGGGACAGGAAAAAAAAAGATTCCCTGGCTCCCATTTGGTGCTCAGACTTTGGGCCCAGGGGACCCTTAATGAACGAACGAATGAATGAGTTACAGCTGATGATCAAGTTCCTCTTCTGGAAAGAAAGCTCATGCGCCTGACTGAGTCGAGGGGAACTCTGGACCGTGGGCACAGGAGAGGCTGGGTAGACCGAGACAGAGGCAACTCCCAGAACCGTCTGAGGAGCAGTGCCCAGACAGACTGGCTAGATCCTTTCGCCCTTGGAGACCTCCCAGCTCCTTCTCTCCGGCAGGGCTGGGATCGGCAGGCCAGGCGGCGAGGCGGGCCAGCTGGCCAGTGGGGAGTCCCGGGCGTGGGCGCGAGTCGTTGGGGAAGCCCCGCCGGTACCTCCCAGGCTCCATTGTGTGTGCCGTGCCCGCCACCTTGACCTCAGCGTCCTCCTCCATGAAACCGTTCCCCGAGATGAGATGGCTTGCGTGCCGCTGGCAGGCGCGGCACGACGAGAGCTAAAGAGGGCTGGGACGTCAGGAGACCGAGAACTGCCAGGAGCCAGGCTGAGACGCGCTAGACCCCCAGCTTCTGAGGGCGGAGCTTCGAAGGGGCGGGCTCCCGTGGGGCGGGGCCTGAGTGAGGGCGGGGCCGGGGCCGGCACCTGGGTGAGGTCGCGGGGCCCCGCCCCCCCGCACTTCCGTGTGCCGCGGCGCCAGAGCAGGAGGCGGCGGCCGCGGGATTCCGCGAGCGGGCCCCTGGACATCCACCCTCCGTGCCGGGACCCGGGCGGCCCCCATTGGCCGCCGGGCCCGTCCTCATCCTCATCAAGCTTGTGCTCACCTCCCCTTCCACGCGCTTCGGCGAGACCCGCGCCGCGAGACAGACCCCGGCCCGCCGGGACCCCTGGCGCCCGGCCCTCCGTCGGGAGGTGAGTAAGAACTGGGCCCGGACGCGGGGTCCGAGCTGAGGCGAGGGCGCACGGCCTTTCCCCCTCCTCTCTCTCCGGTGGCCTCCTTCCCCCTCTTCCTTCCCCCTCATCCTTCCCCGGTTCTGAAACTGAGAAACTGAGCCATGAGCAGCCAAAGTGCCACCGAGCGAGCACGGGGACCCGTCCGCGCTTCGGTCTCCTGATTGGTCTGATCCTCTCATCGACGGCGGGAGCCCAGACCCTACTGCTCCCAGCATCTTTACCCTCCCGGGTGCCTTCAGCCCTGCCGGGGGTCCGCGCGATCCTCCCGAATCTCCCTGGGAGCCTCTGCTCGTTCCTCGGTCTCCTTCTCCTCTTGCCTGGTCCTCTTCTCCCAGGCCAACTCTGCTTGCCCCTCGCCGTCCAGTGCTTCGTGTCCCCACCCCCGCCAGGCCCGCCGCCCCCTCGACCCATTCCTCCCGGAGCCGCACCCCCCGGCCCACGCTCGCAGGCCCCTGGCAGTCCAGCCTCCGGTTCTTTCCACCACGGGGCGGAGGCCGGGCCGCCCGTCGTCCTAGCCTCCTGCGCCTGGGTCCCAGGCGGGCAGACCGGCGCGGCACGGCTCGGCGCCGCCTCCTCCTTGCCCTATCTCTTCTTTCAGTCTCAGTGTCTTTCTTGGCTCTCCTTCTGTCTCTGGGCTGGGCGTGGCTTCAGTCTCAACCATTTCCCCTGTCCTCTCCGCCCCTCTGAGCCCCCACTCCCGGTAGCCTCTGCCTGGCGCTGTCAGTCTTAGTCCCACTGAAGAGACGCCACTCCCTCTGGGGGCCCAGGAAGGTGATGAGGGCAGCAGGGATGGCAGCCCTGCCCTGCTGGCTGGCAGTGGAGAGGGAGGCCAAAAGCACAGCCACAACTCTTTCCACTTCCCCAACCCCTCGGTGTAGTGGAGAGGGGAGGGGAGGGAAGAGAGCCCTACTAAGCACCCCACTTAAACCTTTAGGATGAGTCGGGGAGATTCCTTCTTCCTCTGGTCCCTACCCTAGGCCCTCAGAGGGGCTTGGCTTCTGTTGTTGGGAGTATCTGTGTCTGGGACTGTGGGTATGTTGTGTATCTTGTCTCCTTATATATTGTTTGTCACTGTGGGACTTTCCCTGTGAATGTGTCCTTTCCATGTGTGACTTGCTTATATGTATATGGCTGTCTGAGTGTCCTGAGGCTTCATGTGTGGCCCTTGCAACTTGATACATCATGTCTTGGTGAACTGTCACTGGTCTCCCCTCTGTATTTTGTGATGTGTCTTTGCTTGTTCATGTATATGTATCCCTGTGTGCCCCAAAAGTCCTGTGTGCACCGTGTAATAGTGACCATCTGGCCATGCATACATTAGATCCTTGAATTGTGAGAGCCCACAGTATTGGTGTGCCAACCCACAAGGCTCGAGTGTGAGTGTGTCTGTGTGAGAGTGCATGTGGTGATCACATTGGTTCTTCTCCCTCTGCTGCTGAGCTTCTGTGACCAGGCTGACCTGGTAGAGAGGGAGGGAACTGGTCCTTGGGTTTCCTCGTTCCTGCTATGGATTAGCCTGGGGTGTGGTGGACAGCCCAGCAGAGGGCGGCTATGGTGTGTGTGTGTGTGTGTGTGTGTGTGTGTGTGTGTGTGTGTGTGTGTTTCCTCAGTGACAGTATGTCTGTATGATGTTGTAAAGGCTCTGGTATATGACAGGACTGTGCTGAAGGTGACACGGGCAGTATGGGCTGTAGTGGGAGAGTGTGACTGGTAGGAGACTCACAGTCTGACTGTGTGAAACTGCAGGTGTGCATTGAGTGGCGGTTGTTGTGGGTAACAGAGTGACTGAGTGTGGGTGATGGCAACAGGGGGGCTGTTAATAGGGTATTTGGTGGTAGGACCAGGAGAGAAGGTAAGTGCCTAGCTGTGAATGAGCTTCTGGGAGAACAGGAGGTGCTAGGTGTGTGCTCTACATGCACAAGCCCAGCCCTGGCTCCTGGAGACAGAGAAAGCTGGAGGTAAAGCCATGGGCTCAAATACTCACCATGCCCTTTGAGAGCAGGAGTCCTAAGCCAAGTCTCTGTGTGCCTTTGAGTTTCCTTTGGGGAACAGAGCCAGCAAGGACTTAGGGATCAATGCTTCTTCAGCAGTCTTGGCCCACACTGAGAATGAAGGCCGTTCCTGGCTGTGTCCCATTCTTCTGGAATCTGGGATGAATGAAAACCCAGATAGTTCCCAACAATATTTCCCACAAGGTGTGTTGTTTGCCTCTTCCTGTCTCCCTTGCTTGCAGGAAGGAGGATTCTTCACAGAGTGCCAGGACCCAGCCCTGCTCAGCTCCCTCTCACCCCAAGGGGACCCCAGTCTCTGTAGCTGTGATGGAGGGAGTGGGGGTTGACTCAGAGCTGTGATTATTGCAGGGTTTTGACACCGTTTATCTGGCACAGCTAATTGGAGTTTAAGTTTAAACTGGAAATAATGTGGAGTACTGATGGAAAGATAAAGTCTGAGCTGCTGCTGCCTCCAGGAAGTAGTGATGGGTCTCTAGCCGGTGCAGTGGGACTTTGTTGTTGCTGGTTCTAGACAGGATTTCTCTGTGCAGCCCTTGCTGTCCTGGAACTCAGTCTGTAGACCATGCTGGCCTCGAATTCACAGAGTCTGCCTGCCTCTTCCTCCTGAGTGCTGGGATTAAAGGTGTGCACCACCACTGCCCAGTGAGGGGATGGGACCTTTTGGGAAGACTTAGCTTGCAGTGGAAATGCCCAAATACCTCAGCCAGGGCCCCTTGCTGCTTTTGCCATTCCTCCTGTTCCGGATGTCTCTGGGCCTTAGTTTCAGCTCTAATGATGGGCTAGTAATGTGAGAATCACCTGAAACTACAAAACAAGGACCAAGATTATCCATCTATTATGTTCTCCTCACTTACATTTTTAGTGATCCTGAGGATTGAATCCAGGGTCTTACTTGGAATCATTACTGAACTACATTCTAAACACCTTTTCTTTTCTTTTTTTTTTTTTTTTTTTTTTTTTTTAATTTTTGAGACAGAGTTTCATTATGTTGCCCAGGATGGCCTTGAACTTTCCATATAGCTCACACTAGCCTTGGGCTTTTGCTTTTTTATGCCTCAAGCCCCTGAACAACTAGGCTTACTGGTTGTGTCTCATTATACTCTGGTCATCTCTTGCTTTCATTGTGAATCTAGCACAGAAACTGGCAAGACATGTTTTGAAGTCTCAGCCACCTGGGCATTGGAGCAGTAATATTTCCTCCCACTTAAAAAATAGGCTTACAGCTGGGCATAGTGACATGCCTTAAACCCAGCACCCAGGAGGCACGGGCAGGCAGATCTTGCAATCAGGGATACACAGAGAGACCTAGTCTCAAAATAAAACATGGGGGGTGGGGGTAGAAAGGTTCACTCAGTTTTACATAGTGAATTTGAAGCCAGCCTGGGCTTCAAATGGTAACCTGTCTTTATTTTAAAAAAAAAAAAAAAAAAAAAAAAAAAAAGGCTCAAAGGTATTGTCTACAGTTGGTGCTGGGTTGCATCCTACAACTCCAAAACCTTTAGTCCACCTCCTTGACAGGAAGGTCAGAGCAGGTGTCCTCCCCTACCCACAACCGTGTTACGAGGCTTCTTTGCCATGCTAGAAATGTTCTAAGGGCAAGGACAGTGTTCTAGACCCTAACATTGGAAGGGACACAGAGCTGGTTCCCAGGAGAATTTGAGCCTAATAGCCATTGCCAGAAAAGAAAGTCAAGCCCAGGGAAGCCTGAACTCCTTGGCCCAGCAAAGCTGAGCCAGCCGAGGCTGGCTGTGCCGAGGCTGGCTGGTGCAGGAGCCTGTTTGGCTGTACTTCCCAGCTCAGCTGTTTCCTCCTGTTCCTACAGGTCTGCTGGGAATTGGCCCAGGCAAGGGCGTTGGGCCTCTTCACTTCTGGTGGTTAGTGAGTGGCTGGGAGGCCCAGGTAGAATGGGTCGTCTCAGGCAGATGGGTAATGTGCCAATGCACCATTCTGCTTCGACACTTGTATTCTTCCATGGGACTGGCTGGGTCCCAAGGTACTGTGATGTAGGTGGTGTCCAGTGGAGGTGTCTGTCCCTTTGTTTATAAGGGGCTTCCTATCTGATACCTGCTGTTGCTTTGGCCTTGTAGGTCAGAGGACTGGACACCCTCCCCACCCCCCGTAATGTGGGGGAAGGAGTTGTGACAATGTTTTTGGTCAATTTGAGGGAAAGTAGCATGTAAGTCAAGGGTTGGGGTAGATGTGTCAATGTTTTCATGGTTCCTCAAACTGTCCTCATGTTACAAGGAAACAGGCTCACCTGTGCCCCATGGTGGGTTCAGCGCTGACCTGGGAATGGAATGGAAGTCTTCCAGAAGGACTGAGTGATTTCTCCTCAGCCTCCTGATTCAGTGCTGGGTGTTGCTGGGCATTGTCTTCCAGGGATGCCAGTGAACGCTGCCAATCTCTGAAGTTATCAGTGTCCCTATGGGGCCAGCCTGGCTTCCTGGAGCCCTTGTGGCAGTAAAGTCCTGTGAATCTGGTGCTCCACCTCAGTGGTAGTGAACTTAGTATGTGTGAAGCTCTGTGGAGACCCCAGCACCCAAAACAAACAGGAAAAGAAAGAAGACACAGAAAGAAGGGGTAGGAAGGAAGTAGTTCTATGTGTGAGTAGAGGAGCCCCCGTGAGCAAAGGTCTTCATGCACACACACACATGCATATGTACATGTGTGGGGAGTATGAGTGTGTGTGACAGCACAGGCTGGTAAGGGTGGTCTCCTTCAAGGGTCTCCCTTGGTCAGCCCCCATTCCCCCCTCTGGCTGTTAGCCACTGTGGGTGCAGGGGTTGCTGGGGTATTGAGGCCTCCTTAGTGTGGACAGGGGGCAGGTTGAGCCTCTCACTACAGTGTAGATGCAAGGGCAGAATCTTCACTGGGTCTTCTATCTATTCATCCTATCCCAAACCTGGTGAGGAAGAGTTGATCTGCTTGGGGCTCTCAGCTACCTGA